CGTTAAAAGATAAAAACTGTACCAAAAAAAAGGACATAAATAAGACACTAAACAAAGCCAAATATTGCAGCCTAATTAAAAGATGGCTAACTGGCAGAAGGTCAGTACAGCTGGAGCTGAATCTCACTCTGGAGGACAGGTGTGATGGCAGAGAAGGTCCTTCTCCTGGATCCCGTCAGCCGGAATACTGAGGACAACGTGGCCAGTGGAATGCCTCCTTTGCCAGCCTGGGTGGGGCGGGCAATCCCAGTGGGATGAGACAGTCCCTCAAGTGGCCTGGACCCATGCCATGAATGGACATTGGGTCCACTGGACAGCTGCATACAGTAATTGTGGCTTTCCCAGAAACGCAACCTTCCTGATAGAGACCATTTCTGAAAGATGGGAAACGCCAGGTCCACACCTGAAGGTCCAATTAGACTGCTGTATTGCTAATTAGGCCAATGCACAGGATTCTTCTCAACCAAGGGTTAGCACCTGCTTGGAGATGAGGGTCAACAGCATTCGGGGGGGGGGGGAGGTTGGACTTAGTCTGCTTGTGACTACGTAGGGCAGTGGTGGCGAACCTATGGCACGGAGCCCTCTCTGTGGACACACGCGCCGTCGCCCCAGCCCCGCCTCCCCCGTGGCCCCCTCCTCACCAGCAGCCTCCCTGGAGGAGAATCACCCCTGGGTGCGGCCCACACGGAGCAGCACAGCCAAGGACATAGGCGGGTAGCAGGGACACGACTCCGCCCTCGCACCCCATAGCGTGCAGATGATGCTGCGGGGTGTGGGAAAAGGTTGTGGATGCCATGGTGCTGCAGAGCTGCCTGGGTGATCTGCTGCGGGCCATGGAGGCGGTCTGTGTCCCTGAGGGTGGGCGGGGCAGGTAGGGGCGGAGCAGGCAGGGTGGGAGGCAGAGCGGGGGTGGGAGGGGCGGTTTTGGGGCACTCGGTCTCTAAAAGGGTCGCCATCACTGACGTAGGGATTCTAGGCTGATCCCTCTTTTCACTACTCCCCCAGCTTCTGCAACTCTTTCTCCTATAGCAGTTTGGGAAAAACTAATATAAAGATATGCTTTTTTAACGAAACTTCTTTGGAAAAAAAACAATTCTGAACCACACTGAATCATCCCCTTTTCCTTCTCCTGCCATGTATTAGATTTACACAAGAAGATACAGGTAGTCCTCGCCTTACCACCAGTCACTTAGCAACCATTCAAAGTTACGACAGTTACCCAGAGCTACTCACGGCCCAGATTTGAACTTCCGACAGCCAGGCTCCTCCCAATGTCACATGATTCCATTTTGGGTGCTCAGCAACCAGACCATATTTACAGCCGTTTGCACCATCCCGATTTATGTTTTTTCCCCCCAGAAATCTGTTTTTACTTCTGATTTTCAGCCAAAAACATCAATGGCAGACAATTGATTTGCTTAACGACCACCACGAAAGAGGTCGCAAAATGGAGCACGGTGACAACCAGCACAATTCAACAAACTNAAAAAGTGATGAAGTGCTGGTAGTCCTCTACTTACAACAGTTCGCTTAGTGACTGTTCGAAGTTACAACGGCACTGAAAAAAGTGTCCCCCAAGCCACAGCCGAGGAAGACACCTGCCTGCCCACCCGGCGGCGCTCTTCCTCCTGTCCGAGGTTTCCATTGTTGTGAGCATTTCTGTTGAGGATTGGCAGTGGGGGTGGGGTGGGGGGGTGTTTGGTTTTTATTCCCGTCTGCTGGTGGTTGCAGCAGGTTTTGGTCACTTCACATGACCCTGGGACACTGTGACCGTCATAAATATGAATCAGTTGCCAAGCATCTGGATGTAAATCACAAGACCCTGGAGATGCTGCAACATTCCAGCTGATTGGTGCTTCTTCAGGGCTCAGCAGAAGCGCCAGGATCAGCGCCGAGCTCCAGCTGGATCCTGGCGCTGATCCTGGCGCTTCCGCTGAGCCCTGACAGCCCTGCAGCTCCAGCCATCTCTCGCTCATGCTTGTGCGGTGCTGCCACCGGTTCAGCTCATTCCCCTCCCCAGCTACCATTATTCTAGGATGGTCGCGTACCACCTGCCAGGTGCCAATGTACCACAGGTGGTACCCGTACCACTGGTTGAAAAGCCTTGCTCCAGGTGACTAGCTTGGCCAACTCGCTATACGTAGAAGTATGAGTAGTGACAGCTTCTTGTAAAACAGGGGTGTCACTGCCGGCCCACGGGCCGGTTGCATCACACGGAGGCCGTGCCCCCCCCAGCTCCGGCAATGCGAAAAAAGATGTTATGTCGCGACACATCACGTGTCACGGCGAGTTTGACACCTGTGTTGTAAAACATCAAGCTGAGCTGAGAAGAGTATGAAAAGTAAGTTCCTGAACTTTAAAAAACAGAGGCAAAGGTATAGGATAGGCAGGACCTGGTTCAACAGTACTGCCTGTGAGAGGGATCTAGGTGTCCTGGTGGACCATCACTTGAGCCAGCAGTGTGCTTTATCTGCCCCAAAAACCCAATGCAATCCTAGGCTGCATCGACAGAAGGATGGCATCAAGATCACGAGAGGTGATTTACTGGACTATTGAGGCCACATTTGGGACACTGTGCCCAGTTCTGGTCACCACAATATAAAAAAGAGGCCGAGGCTCCTAGAAAGAGTGCAGAGAAGAGCAACAAAGATGATAAGGGGTGTGGAGGCTAAATCCTATGATGAACAATTAGTGGGAGTTGGCCCTTTTATGAAGTGTGGACTTCAACTCCCAGAATTCCTCAGCCAGGCACACAAGTCTACAGCGCTCATTCAGAAGAGGAAGTGGAAGAGAGACAGTGTCAAATAAAAACCGGGCAAAGCTATAGTTGTTCCGTAAGATGAACTAAGGCAATGTCTTTCAACCTCGGCCAACGCTTTCAGATATGTAGACTTCAACTCCCAGAATTCGCCAGCCATATCGGCTGAGGAATTCTGGGATTTGAAGTCCACAATCTGAAAGGGGTTGCCGAAGTTGAGAGATATTGATCTAAGACGGGATCTTCAAACTTGGCCCTTTTATGACTTGTAGATTTCAAGTACACTGGCTGAGGAATTCTGGGAGTTGAAGTCCACAAGTCATAAAAGGGCCAAGTTTGAAGACCCTTGGGCTAGCCTATCAAAGAGAAGGATTGGGGGACATGATAATTGTCTTCCCCTACTTAAGGGGCTCTCGCAGAGAAGAGGGGATTGACTTATTGTCCAAAGCACCTGAGGGCAGGACAGGAAGCAATGGGTGGAAGCTCGCCAGAGGGAGATCCAATCTGGAAATGAGGAGGAATTTCCTGACAGTGAGAACAATTAATCAGTGGAATAGCTTCCTCCTTCAGAAACTGAACTGTATCGTAACTCCCTTTTTCCAGTTGTAACTCTGAACGATCGCTAAGCTGCCAGTTGTAAGCCCGAGGACCACTTGTAGTAAAATGTACTATATCTCTTTCAATTGATAGCACGTGAAAACCTTGACACTTGTTGTGGCGCTGACGAAATCTCAGTGGTACGTGCAGGGTGACCCTTGTCTTGCAAAATTCAGGAGGCCAAACGAGAAACATGCTTCCAATCCTTACAGCTCAAGACATCTTATCAAAACCAGCGTCTTCTCAAAGCATTAAACAGGGTGACTCCAGTAATTAGAATGCCAAGTCCTATTTCAAGCCCACCCTTTGATGTGGAAAGGCACTAAGTGACACTAACTGTGAATCCATTCTACCTCACAGGATTGTTGTTGAGGGGGAAAATTAAAGGAGCGAGTGCTTAAGATACCCCATCACTTATCTCCCATCTCGCCGGGATAGGGAGTGGAGTAATTTTGGGAGTGGGAGAGGGCTGAGGGGGCTCAGAGCATGTGAGCCCAAGCCTACACTAGGCCTCCGAGGGAGGGACCTTGGAGGGTCATCTAGTCCAACCCCCTGCTCAGGCAGGAAACCCTATACCATTTCGGACAAATGGCTGTCCAGTCTCTTCTAAAAAACTTCCAGTGTTGGAGCATTCACCGCTTTTGGAGGCTGGTTGTTCCACTGGTTAATTGTTCTAACTGTCAGGAAGTTTCTCCTTAGTTCTAGGTTGGTTCTCTCCTTGATTAGTTTCCACCCGTTGCTTCTTGTCCTGCCTTCTGGGGCTTTGGAGAATAGATTGACTCCCTCTTCTTTGTGGCAGCCCCTGAGATACTGGAAGACTTGCTACCATGTCACCCTTCATCCTTCTCTTCATTAAACTAGACCAGGGGTAGGCAACCTTGGCTCTTTTATGACTCGTGGACTTCAACTCCCAGAATTCCTGAGCCAACATGGCTCAGCTTGGAAACCTCTCCCTTTCCCCTCAGCATGGCTGGCTCAGGAATTCTGGGAGTTGAAGTCCACGAGTCATAAAAGAGCCAAGGTTGCCTACCCCTGAAATTAGACATACCTAATTCCTGCAACCGTTCCTTGTATGTTTTAGCCTCCAGTCCCATTTAATGATTCACTGGGAATGAGGGAGTCCTTAGGTTTGGCACTTCACTCAATGACCATCGTGACCTGCGACAAGTAATGGGCAGGCTCCATTACTGTTGTAAGTCAAGGACTACCTGTATGGTGTATGCTGCCTTGATCTTGATATAAATCCAATAGCTACATAAAATAATAATAAAGGATCCTATTGGGACGTTTAAAAAGGTAAGTCTTTTTTTTTTTTGAGAGAGAAAATACAACAGTTAGATTAAATTGACAAGAATCCTGCTTTCTAAAGAATCAGTTTCATCAGCCTGGTCTCCTCAGATTTGGCGAGGTCATTTTGACTGGAGGTTACAGTAATTTAGGTCCAACACATGTACATGGAGAGAAATCTTTTCATCTTCTCAAGAAATGCTGGTGTGTGTGTGTGTGTGTGTCCTCTCCTAATTTAAACTGGAAACATTCATGGGTTGCTCTGACCACTAGGCAGGTTAATCTAAAGAGGGGAAAAATAAATACTTCTCTTTGACCACCATTATCAACACTTTTCTGTCTTGTCAGCTGGACTCACATGTATTCTATTGTTCCACAGAACGTATGTGTGACTGTTCCATCATGAATGGATTCTTTACACAGTCCAAAATCTGTCAGTTTAACGTGACCTGGGGGGGAAAAACAAAAGGAAATAAAAAAGGAAGTGAGGGGAGAGAACCATAGAAAGCTAATATAAAATTAAAATACCACACAGGTAGACCTCGACTTACAACCAAATGTTGAGCCCAACGTTTCCGTTTCTAAGCAAGGCAGCGGTTAAGTGAGTCGTGCCCCATTTTATGACCTTTTTGCCACCGCTGTTAAGTGAATCACTGCAGTTGTTAAGTGAATCACGAGGTCGTTAAGCGAATCTGGCTTTCCCCCATTGATTCTGCTTGTCAGAATCTGGGAAAGTTGCAAAGGGACCCCGGGATGCTGCAACCGTTATAAAATACAGGCCAGTTGCCAGGAACCCAAATTTTGATGACGTGACAACTGGGGATGCTACAATGGTCGTAAGTGTGAAAAATGGTCGTAAGTCACTTTTGTCATGGTTCCAATAGAGGAGACCAGTAAAAACAGAACTCCAAGGCAAGAGGTGTCCTTAAAGCAGGGCTTTTCAACCTTTTCACCCATTGTACCACTTTTAGGATATGGCAACATCCGAGTACCACTAATTGCCTAGCAAGGTGTCAAAAACTTGACCAAAAAAAAAGAGGAAAAAAGTGATAAAGTACAGGTAGTCCTCAACTTATAACATTTCGCTTAGTGACTGTTCAAAGTTACAATGGCACTGAAAAAAGTGCCCCCCAAGCCAGAGCCGAGCAAGATACCTGCCTGCCCACCCGGCGGCGCTCTTCCTCCTGTCCGAGGTTTTCATTGTTGTGAGCATTTTCATTGTTGTGAGCATTGTTGAGGATTGGCAGCGGGGGTGGGGGGGTGTTTGGTTTTTATTCCCCCCCCCCGTCTGCTGGGTAGTTGGAGCAGGTTTTGGTCACTTCACATGACCCTGGGACACTGTGACCGTCATAAATATGAATCAGTTGCCAAGCATCTGAATGTAAATCACAAGACCCTGGAGATGCTGCAACATTCCAGCTGATTGGTGCTTCTTCAGGTCTCAGCAGAAGCACCAGGATCAGCACCGAGCTCCAGCTGGAGCCTGGCGCTGATCCTGGCGCTTCCGCTGAGCCCTGACAGCCCTGCAGCTCCAGCCGTCTCTCGCTCAGGCTTGTGCGGTGCTGCCACCGGTTCAGCTCATTCCCCTGCCCCGCTACCACTTTTCTAGGATGGTCGCGTACCACCTGCCAGGTGCCAATGTACCACAGGTGGTACCCGTACCACTGATTGAAAAGCCTTGATCTAGTCTCTACACAGATAGTGGGACATTTGTCCCTACACCGGCGATCTTTAGCCTTGGCAACCTTTTAAGACTTCAATTCCCACAATTCCCCAGCCGCTGTGGCTGGCTGGGGAATGCTAAAAGTTGAAGTCTACAAGTTGCCAAGGTTGGAGACCTCTGCCTTATACACCGTCTGGAAATGCTAAAAAACTGCAATCGCGGCAGATCTGTTGACTATCGGGTGGGGAAATCTACCGAATCACAACCAGATTCCAATAATTCTGAAAAAAGGTTGACAAAAACAGACTTGGTATAATTGTCTTTCTAACCTTGGTGATTCAGCATGATGTTTTCTGGCTTTAAGTCACGGTAGATGATTCCTTTCTGATGCAGGTGTCCCAAAGCCATCGAAATTTCAGCCAAGTAGAAGCTACAATGCAAAAAAAAAAAAAATGATTAGGAAAGAATCCTTGGTGGCTATGCAGTTTTTAAGTTTTAATCAAGTCAATCAATCTCAATCAGCAACCCTATAAATTGGATTAATGAATATTTTTTTAAAAAAAAACAAACCCATCACTGCAAAACTTCAGATGTGGCACTTGACAAAAGGACTCAGCTTCCAAGTTTTATAGTTATTTCTTTGGCTTAGTTTTATCCTCACTCACTATTGCAGCTCCTAGAGCAGGGCTTTTCAACCAGTGGTACGGGTACCGCCTGTGGTACATTGGTATCTGGCAGGTGGTACGCGCCCATCCTAGAAAAGTGGTAGCTGGGGAGGGGAATGAGCTGAACCGATGTCAGCACCGCACAAGCCTGAGCGAGAGATGGCTGGTGCTGCAGGGCTGTCAGGTCTCAGCGGAAGCGCCAGGATCAGTGCCGCTTTCCAGCTGATCGGCGCTTCTTCGGGGCTGTCAGCTGGAGCTCTGCGCTGATCCTGGTGCTTCTGCTGAGCCCAGAAGAAGTGCTGATCAGCTGGAATGTTGCAGCATCTCCAGGGTCTGGTGATTTACATTCAGATGCTTGGCAACTGATTCATATTTATGACGGTCACAGTGTCCCAGGGTCATGTGAAGTGACCAAAACCTGCTGCAACCACCCAGCAGACGGGGGGGGGGGGAATAAAAACTAAAGACCCCTGCTGCCAATCCTCAACAGAAATGCTCACAATAATGAAAAACTTGGACAGGAGGAAGAGCGCCGCCGGGCGGGCAGGCAGGTGTCTTGCTCGGCTGTGGCTTGGGGGGCACCTTTTTCAGTGCCATTGTAACTTCGAACAGTCACTAAGCGAACTGTTGTAAGTCGAGGACTACCTGTACTTTATCACTTTTTTCCTGGTCAAGTTTTTGACACCTTGCTAGGCGACTGGTGGTACTCGGATATTGCCATATCCTAAAAGTGGTACAATGGGTGAAAAGGTTGAAAAGCCCTGTCCTAGAGTGCTGGGTTTCCCCCATCTGTGCTCTGGAGGCAATAGCCTCAGAGGAAAAACAGTAACCATAATTTCAGTTGTGACTCGACCGAGATAAATCAGAATAACAACTAATGGAAGGGATTCTGTTATGAATTGAGATAAGGGAAATCTTGGTTACCTAAAGCCTGAAAATTATAAATATCAACGGTTAAATTGGAATATTGATGGGAAATTAAAAATTGGGGGGAAAAATTAATAACAGGATATGGATTGTTTATGAAGATTGAATGTAAAAAATAATTAAGATACGTACAAGTTAAAATTCATTGATAAATGTAATAATGATGTTTTTACTGGGTTGATATAAGAAGAACTGTATTAGCTTAAATACGAGACAGTAAATGTTAAGGGGAAAAGAGAGGAAATATTTGATGTTGTAACTTGAGATTTGTACTAAAGATTTTGTTATCGAACTATTGATTAACCCAGCCACCACGTTGCTTTTTTAAATACTTAAATGTAAAATTGGAGAATAAAATATTATATAAAAAAAATCTGTCAGCATCTGCCTTTAGCAAGTTTCTGTACAGAGGTTTGTTTCAACAGGAGCTATTTTAGGTCCACTGTGGCTTCATGGCTATACTTAGTGGTATTTATATGACTGTCTAAATGAAACACACAGTGTTTACATTTACGTTCATATTGTGACATCTCATAAGATCAGCCTTCAGGCACCCACAGGCCTATTCAGTTTCCAAATGCCCAAAGGCTGTGGCCCAAACAACCTTGTCTTTGAAGTATGGGAAATGAAAATGCAGCTCAGTAGGAAGCTGTGATATGCCTCCCCAATCTTCCCCCACAACAGACTTCGTACGTTCTTCACTCGGCTCTTGCCTTATCGTCTACCCTGCTGGAGCAGAAGAAACGTTCGGTCACTTACCAAGCAGTGTCTTCCATAAATATCCCCTCTCGTTCCAACTGCATGAAGAGTTCTCCTCCTGAAAATCAAAGCGTGAGAAAAGCACAGTAAATTTTTGACTCCGTCACTAGGAAAGTTAGCACGGGACAGACGCCACAAGATAAGATGGGGCGCAGAGGGCTGCACGGCAGAAAGCTAGCTGCCCTACTTCCAAGTCCATGGGGCATTCTGGATAAATTGTCCTTTTGTTTAGAGCGGGGTGGTGGTGGTCAAACTCGCAACGTCATGTGACGCGTCGCGACGTATTGCGACTTTTTCCCCATTGCTGGCAATGGGGCGGGCGCGGTTTCACCACGACGCATCAGGCCCGCGGGCCGGCAGTTTGACACCCCTGGTTTAGAGAACTGATCACACTCAGGTTGGATTCACAAACTGCCTTGTAATTTATTTATTTATTTGCAAATTTATTGGCCGCTCTTCTTACTTCAGGGTAACCCTGGCTTACAGTCGTTAAAAGATAAAAACTGAACAAAAAAAAGAGACATAAATAAGACACTAAACAAAGCCAAATATTGCAGCCTAATTAAAAGATGGCTAACTGGCAGAAGGTCAGTACGGCTGGAGCTGAATCTCACTCTGGAGGACAAGATGTTCCAAAGGGCAGGTGTGATGGCAGAGAAGGTCCTTCTCCTGGATCCCGTCAGCCGGAATACTGAGGACAAGGGGGCCAGCGGAATGCCTCCTTTGCCAGCCTGGGTGGGGCGGGCAATCCCAGTGGGATGAGACAGTCCCTCAAGTGGCCTGGACCCATGCCAAGAATGGACATTGGGTCCACTGGACAGCTACGTACAGTAATTGTGGCTTTCCCAGAAACGCAACCTTCCTGATAGAGACCATTTCTGAAAGGGGGAAGTTGTTAGGTGGGAAACGCCAGGTCCACACCTGAAGGTCCAATTAGACTGCTGTATTGCTAATTAGGCCAATGCACAGGATTCTTCTCAACCAAAGGTTAGCACCTGCTTGGAGATGAGGGTCAACAGCATTCGGGGGGGGGGGAGAAGGTTGGACTTAGTCTGCTTGTGACTACGTAGGGCAGTGGTGGCGAACCTATGGCACGGAGCCCTCTCTGTGGGCACACGCACCGTCGCCCCAGCCCTGCCTCCCCCGTGGCCCCCTCCTCACCAGCAGCCTCCCTGGAGGAGAATCACCCCTGGGTGCGGCCCACACGGAGCAGCACAGCCAAGGACATAGGCGGGCAGCAGGGACACGACTCCGCCCTCGCACCCCATAGCGTGCAGATGATGCTGCGGGTGTGGGCAAAGGGTGTGGCTGCCATGGTGCTGCAGGGCTGCCTGGGTGATCTGCTGTGGGCCATGGAGGCGGTCTGTGTCCCTGATGGTGGGCGGGGCAGGGGGCAGGTGGGGGCGGAGCAGGCAGGGTGGGAGGCAGAGCAGGGCTGGGAGGGGTGGTTTTGGGGCACTCGGTCTCTAAAAGGGTCGCCATCACTGACGTAGGGATTCTAGGCTGATCCCTCTTTTGACTACTCCCCCAGGTTCTGCAACTCTTTATCCTATAGCAGTTTGGGAAAAACTAATATAAAGATATGCTTCTTTAACGAAACTTCTTTGGAAAAAAACAATTCTGAATCACACTGAATCATCCCCTTTTCCTTCTCCTGCCATGTATTAGATTTACACAAGAAGATACAGGTAGTCCTCGCCTTACCACCAGTCACTTAGCAACCATTCAAAGTCACGACAGTTACCCAGAGTTACTCACGGCCCAGATTTGAACTTTTGACAGCCAGGCTACTCCCAATGTCACATGATTACATTTTGGGTGCTCAGCAACCAGACCATATTTACAGCCGTTTGCACCATCCCGATTTATGTTTTTTCCCCCCAGAAATCTGTTTTTACTTCTGATTTTCAGCCAAAAACATCAATGGCAGACAATTGATTTGCTTAACGACCACCACGAAAGAGGTCGCAAAATGGAGCACGGTGACAACCAGCACAATTCAACAAACTGTAATTCCGGGCTCAATTCTGGTTGTAAATGGAGGACTGCTTATATTTCTAAAAATATAGAGGAGTTTTATGAGGGAGCAATGAAACTGATCCCACGCTGTCGGTGAGCTCAAAAATCCACATTTTGATTCTCAGCTCAGACTTACCACTGAGATACTCGAGGATGAGGTAGAGTTTTCCACCGGTCTGAAAGGCATAAATCAAGTCCACGATAAATGGATGCTTGACCTCCTCCAAGATATTCCGCTCGGCTTTCGTGTGAGCGGTGTCTTTTGCGTTCCTCACAATCATCGCCTAAAGAAGACAAAACAATCATAGTATCTGTATTTTTTTAAAAAAATCTATCTGCACATTCCAATATTTTCCTAATTATTTCTTCTTCTGATGGCAATTCTTCATTCTTCCAGTATTATGCGAAGATTATTCTCGCTGCTGTAGTGATGTGCAAAATTAAGAATAAACTCTGTTTATTAATCTTTTCAGGCATTATACCTAGTAAAAAAAAGTTCAGGTTTAAAATCAACATGCTCACCTAATATTTTTTCTAACCACATATGTATCTTTCTCCAATAAGCCTTAGCTTTGCCACAAGTCCACCAAATGTGGTAATACGTGCCTATAATATGTTTACATTTCCAGCATCTATCTGACATATTTTTAAACATTTTTGCTAATCTTGCTGGCTTAACCATGAGACTGAAAGATAAAGAAGACACGGACTACTACCAAATTTGGGATCTATTTTATCGTTGGTTAGAGGAAAGAATGAAGGATTAGGAATTGAATATGTATTAGCATAACTAATCCCAGACAAACTCGTTGATTGAAAAATTAACATATGTATACAAAAGAAAATCAATAAAATATAAAAAAAAATATGTAGAGGGAGCTGGTAGAATCTGGGGGCGGAGTTAAAAGAGGGATCAGCCTAGAATCCCTATGTAGCCATAAGCCAATGGTGGCGAACCTATGGCACGCGTGCCAGGGATGACACTCAGAGCCCTCTCTCTGGATACATGTGCCGTCGCCCCAGCCCCGCCTCCCCCCGTGGCCCCCTCCTCACCAGCACCCCTGGAGGAGAGTTACCCTACCCTCAGGTGCGGCCCACATGGAACAGCGCAGCCAAGGACATGGCAGCCGGGCAGTGGGGACAAGACTCCGCCCTCACGCCCTGTCACGTGCAGATGAAGCTGCGGGGCACAGGCAGAGGCTGTGGCCACTATGGTGCTACTGGGCCACCTGGGCAATCTGCGGCAGGCCGTAGAGGCGGTGGGTGGCCCACGGGGTGGGGATGGTGTGCGGGGCAGGGGGGTTTGGGCACTCGGTCTCTAAAAGGTTTGCCATCACTGCCATAAGCGGACTAAGTCCACCCTCCCTTGAATTCCATTGACTGTTGTCTAACTCTAAGCCGTTAGTTGAGAAGATTCTTGTCCGTAGTCTTTTAGCAATAAATAAATAAATAAACAATTTAATTGGACCTCCACATGTGGACCTGATCTTTCCTGCCTGATAAAAACACAGTACAATTATATCAAGTCTGCTACGTTTGTGACCAAACTGGAGCCACTGATAGCTACCGAAGTTCACAAAACATATTTGGAGCAATGGATCAATTCATCCCCAAAGCCAAACTCTATTTTTTTCCTTATCTGCCACATTTCCTAATTTTGAGGAAGGTAAAGCTATACTTGTCTCAAAACCTGTAGACCCAGGTAAGTCTAAATGTAGTGCCTGTTTGTAAAACAGCCGATCGTGATTTGAAGCGAGCTTTCTAAAGCTTCTTCATGCAAGCTAGGGTTTGTTCAATGTAGAGGTCAAATATGGTTTGCTGTGAACAAGGAAGGGACTGGAGTGTATAAAGTTGCTGCATATTATATCAACTAAAGTTGCTGAACAGATTTCAAGAGGAGTGCCAAGTAGAATGCAGTGCAGTAGTCTGTTTGCAAGGTGATCAAGACATGGGCAGCTGTAGCCAGAGTAGAAAAAGAACAAAGCATGCTGTCTGGTGAATTCTGGAAGTTAAAGTCCACACATCTTATAGTTGCTGATATAGACCCAGGACGGCCACCAAAAAAGCAAGTTGTAGAGCAATCACTTATTTCTGATTTGGCTTCTGGAATAAAGCTTGAACTGTTCCTCCAATTACTACATTGTTTAGCCAGTCTACAACAAATTGTAGTTCATCTTCCATTTAACTTCCCTCTCCTATACTTTAACTTGGATTCTTGATTTAAAGAGGGCATTGGACATTATAAACCTTAAATAGCCTCTTCAAATTATTTGACTTGGTTTTCACTACCTTCAGTTATCAAAGTCATCAAACATAAACCAACCAGTGGCTTGTAATAATGGTCTGATTCACATATGACAGTGATGGCGAACCTTTTAGAGACCGAGTGCCCAAACTGCAACCCAAAACCCACTTATTTATCGCTGGGTGCCAGGTGGGCGTGGACCACTGGGTGGACCTGGCTGTGGTGGTCATGGCAGATTGGGTGGGTGTGGCCAAGGTGGGCGTGATCACCTCAATATTGCTGATGGGGAGGGACACCTGTGGGGGCCGGGCAGGGTTGGGGGAGATCCAGGGGGTCTTTGGCAGGTGGGGCAGTGGGCAGGAGGCTTGTCCTGCAGGGTGAGGCGAGGCAAGGTGAGGCAGGGCGGGGGGGCCATTGTCACAGGGCAAGTTGTGGCAGGGGCCAGGGCGGCTGCTGCCTGACACCATCGGCCCTTGCACACAGAGGCCAGCGAGCGCATGGGTGCTGGGATGCATCCGGCCATGTGGGACCTCAGCGAGTTAGTGGGCGGCTGGTTGAAGAGGGACGGTTGCCATCTCCAGGGCATGGCGTGCATGCCCACAGAGGGGGCTCTGAGTGCCGCCTCTGGCACGTGTGCCGTAGGTTCGCCACCACTGACATACGACATAAGAGCCTGTTTCTTGAAATTCCATGAACTTCAAACAACCAAACACACTTGAACCAAACCTACTTTGTCCAGCCTCCTCTTCCTTATCTCATTCCTTCTCCTCCCTTTTTTCAAAACAGGCTATAGATCACAGGAGGACATAATCCAACCCATTGATAAAATGTATGTTCAGCTATAATACATTCAGAGTAATTTAGATTTCAACAGACTGGATGACACTTCAAAATGAAAAGCGTAGACTCTGCTGCTAGCTGCTCTACTATCTTACAAAGAGCCATAACAGCAATGCTTGTTAAAAAATATCTGATTGCATAATTACTGCATCAATCAAGCAAAAGTTCAAAAAATTTAAGCACGCAATAACAGATGAAAAACTTTGCAAGCGAGTGAAAAGTGATTCTCCAATTGCTGCTAATATCTGAAGTAACTGGACAAAAATGCAGAGTTGGTTGTATAAAATTCCTTTATTTCAGTTATGATGACAGGTATCCTCAACTTATGACCACAATTTTAGCAAATTTCCGTTGCTAAGCAAGACAGTTGCCCCATGTTATGACCTTTCTCGCCACAATTGTTAGCTGAATTATCGCAGTTAAGTTAGTAACTTGGTTTTTAAGTGAATCTGGCTTCCCCATTGGCTGTAATTGTCAGAAGGTCGCAAAAGGGGATCACATGACCCCGGGCCACTGCAACCGTCGTAAATATGAATCAGTTGCCATGAGTCTGGATTTTGATCATGTGACCACAGGCATGCTGCAACAGTGATAAGTGTGAGAAACGGTCATAGTTTTTCAGTGCCGTTGTAACTTTGAACGGTCACTAAGCAAATGATTGTAAGTTGAGGACTAGTCATATTTCTCCTACCAATGATTCTCTGGAGCTTAATTCTTAATGGAGCTTAAATTTAAGATCGGCAGCAAGCAAAACCTTGTTCTACATCAGGGGTCTTCAAACTTGCCCCTTTTATGACTTATGGATTTCAACTCCCAACGGTGTGCCTGGCTGAGGAATTCTGGGAGTTGAAGTCCACAAGTCATAAAACGGCCAAGTTTGAAGACCCCTGGTCTACATTCACCTCACACAAAAGTTGTCTATCTTCCTACAGTTGGGTGATCAAAGCCATCTCACCTTTTTCAGCACCTTCATGGCAAATATTTTGCTCGTGTTTGCTCCCGTTACTTTGCGGACTTGGAAAACCTGCCAAGACATTTTAAAAAGAAGCATTTTAAAAAGAAGAAGATAGAAAAATGTGAGGTAGAAAGCACCACCACCAGATGGCAAGATAGAAAAATGTGGGGTAGAAAGCACCATCACCAGATGGATCCGTAGCTGGTTGACTGGCCGTACTCAGCGAGTGGTCCTCAATGGAACCGCATCTACATGGAGGGAAGTGTGTAGTGGGGTGCCCCGGGG